TTTTTCAAACTTAAAATTAATTAGATGAAAGATTTTTCTATGAGTTAGATAATAGCTGCAAATGTGTGAAGAGTACAACTCACTGAATATCTGGAAACATTTCAGAATTTAAACCTGATAATGTTCATATAAATGCCAAGGTGAATTTCTTGATCACTTTTTTTTAACAATAAGAATGCTTTCCTAGCATTTTTAAAAATGATTAATAGGAAAAATTGTTGAAAGATGATGTCTGTGTATTATGGAAAGGAAATCTTACTGTTTTATTGCTTGTGACAGTCCGTTTTATGCTAGAACCCCTGCTTTTGTTTTCCATAATTCAAAATAAGCTAGAGAAGGCTTATAAACATATCTATGAAGCCTACCTTACAGAAATAAATCTACCCATTGAAAAGGCTAAGTAATGTTTGCAAATGTTGTTTGCCTTTCAAGAGTTGGTAATAGCCTGTTTTCCTTCCCTCTGTGAATGGACGTCAAGTACAGTTCAGCCTGACATTTCATCTTTTCTAATTAGTTTATCATGACATAATTCTCTGCTCCCAACATTTTCTCTTGAATGGTTTGGATTCATTTCTTGAATTCTAAACAGAACACTTATGTTATGAAGCACTCCTGTCTTCCTTTTTCCCTTATGCCTCCTCGACATAGATGGATAAGTTTTAAAAAGTAAAAGTTTTAAGAAAGTTAAATGTTTCAAGTCTAATACTGAGCTTTCCATTTCTCTTTCTGTGCATCTCTGTCTGCATGGGAAGCTAGAATGGGAGATGAGGATCCCATACATCCCATATATTTCATTTTATTTTCAATACATGCCCCTCCCCTCTTGCCTTATAGCTTTCTTTCTCCTAATTATTGCACCTTATAACATAATAGAATAAATTATTCTACCCTGGTTAATATCAAAACCACATTACCTCCTAGGCAATTGAGTTCTAGGGATTCAAGTGAGAGGAAGGATTTTTAAAGGCAACAATGAATAAATAAAAAGAAAATGTTTTGAATTTGTCTGATTTCTAAGACGACATCACTTACACATCCAGAAACTGGGACGCCATTGATTAAAAATCTCTGTTCAGTTAGATCGGTATTTCTCAGTCTCTGCAATTTTAAAATATATGAACCTCCAATTCCCAGAATTCTCCAGCTTGCTGGCTGGGGAATGCTGGGCATTGAAGGCCACATGTCTTAAATTTGCTGAATTTAAGCAACATTGTATTAAACAATACCTTCTATTTTCCTTCTTTTGTTTTGGTTGGGGAAAAAGTGTGCCAAATCAGTAAGGATGGAATTATAGGTGCCGTTCCTAGTTGAATTCATATAAAATGGCTTACTTTTTAGCTTTTTAAAAACCTGGTTGTCTTTCACACTTCAGAAGCAAAATCAGAAGCATACAAGACAACTTGTTATAAATTGTATAAATCATGGTCTAAATGTCAACTGGTTTCCTTCCGATTGAACTCAGCTAGTGGTGACATCACAAGCATGTCTCATTGTTTTCTTTATAATAGATGAGAGTGATTTTTTTTTAAATCTACATCTATGGTTCTGCTGATGATAGGATAATGATAATAAGGAATGCTTTTTCTTAATGCTAATTGTCTCCCGTTTAAAAAAAAAAGTCATTTGATTTCTAATTATTATTATATAATCTTCATCAGGAGTTTAGTGATTTTTCAATAAAAATTTTTATTATTTTCATCATAAAAAGAAAACATACAAATACAACACAAATATAATATAAAACCCGCATCCCCCACCCACCCACCCCGAGAATTCCCAAACCTAATCCCAGGATAATATTCAAATATAAGTAAACAATTAATAATATCTCTAACTCCACAAGGTATATAAGTTCTGCATGAATAAAAGAAATATATACATAAAAAAGAACCAGTTAATTAAAAACCTAAATTATATTCCACTATTCTATGCTTCTTTTGTATATAAACAATCCATCTTCTCCATATAGATA